TTGGGCTTTGGTTGGTTGCATCACTTCTTCCAGAACCATGTGTCGTAGCGCTTGTCGAGGTGGTGGTGGTGGTGGATGCTATCGTCCGACCGACGACGTGGGGGTGACGTGCTGCGTTGTTGTTTCGTTGCTGGTTTTGCGAGAGTGTCGGTGTTGGGTAGTTCGTCTGTGCTGTTCTGACGACTGGAGTTGCGTGTCCAGTAGTGTCGCGAATGACGCATTGTTGGCGCTGCCTCGTGGCTCGCAAGGTGTGTCGGACACGTTGTTATTTTTCCCCACATCTTTGTGTGGGGTTCTTACTTTTACCGCTGCGCGCCCGCCTCCCGCCGCCCCGTCGCTCTCACTCACTCACACACACTCACTCACACACACTCACTCACACACACTGACTCACACACACTGACTCACACACACTCAGTCACACACACTCACTCACTCGCCGTCGCTCTCACTCACTCACACACACTCACTCACTCACACACACTCACTCACTCACACTCACTCACACTCACTCACTCACTCACCCGCACAAAGTCACACCCGCTCACACACACTCACTCACACACACTCACTCATGGAGATGCAAGTGCTGCCTTTGTGTCGCAGGGGCAGCATTTCGGTACTTCGTGCACCTGGGCTTGCGTTTGCGTGGCAGGGGCAGCATTTGGGAGCTGTCTAAAGGGCTGGGATGTTGTGGCGCGCGCGGCTGTGGGCCCCCATTTCGCGTGGCAGGCGCAGGACTTTGGAGATGCAAGTGCTGAAATCGTGGCAGTCGCAGTACTTCGTGCACCTGGGCTTGCGCTTGCGTGGCAGGGGCAGCATTTGGGAGCTGTCTAAAGGGCTGGGGTGTTGTCGCGCGCGCGGCTCTGGGCCCCCATCTCGCGTGGCAGGCGCAGGACTTTGGAGATGCAAGTGCTGAAATCGTGGCAGGCGCAGTACTTCGTGCACCTGGGCTTGCGTTTGCGTGGCAGGGGCAGCATTTGGGAGCTGTCTAAAGGGCTGGGGTGTTGGCGCGCACGCGGCTGTGGGCCCCCATCTCGCGTGGCAAGCGCAGCACTTTGGAGATGCAAGTGCTGAAGTCGTGGCAGGCGCAGTACTTCGTGCACCTGGGCTTGCGTTTGTGCGCCAGGGGCAGCATTTGGGAGCTGTTTAAAGGGCTGGGGTGTTGTCGCGCGCGCGGCTGTGGGCCCCCATCTCGCGTGGCAGGCGCAGCACTTTGGAGATGCAAGTGCTGAAGTCGTGACAGGCGCAGTACTTCGCGCACCTGGGCTTGCGTTTGCGTGGCAGGGGCAGCATTTGGGAGCTGTCTAAAGGGCTGGGCTGTTGTCGCGCGCGCGGCTGTGGGCCCCCATCTCGCGTGGCAGGCGCAGGACTTTGGAGATGCAAGTGCTGAAGTCGTGACAGGCGCAGTACTTCGTGCACCTGGGCTTGCGTTTGCGTGGCAGGGGCAGCGTTTGGGAGCTGTCTAAAGGGCTGGGATGTTGTGGCGCGCGCGGCTGTGGGCCGTGGACAACGAACTGGGGATACTTCGCGCAGGGCAACTGGATGCTTCGGCGGCTCGAGTGCTCATTGCCCTCAACGACATCCAGCTCCCCGACGAGGAAGCTCTTCAGCAAGATCCACAGTCGGCCTCGGCCATGCGAGTGAAGCGGTCTGTCGACTGCTTGCTCGCACCCCAGCGGCAAGGCGAGCCAGCTCGGGCGAAGCTACGTGCGGCTGGGCCAGCTTCCGCTGTCAACTAGATCTTGCGGGGCCGCCCGGGAGATGTTCACCAAGTTGTCATCATGCAGACGGAGACCATCGGTGAATGGAGTGCTCTATGGCACGTGCCGGTTGCCATCAAAGCTGTCGCATCTTTCGTCGCCTACTGGCAGTTCATCCTGGATTGCCAGAAAGGCCAGAACGCGCTTCTCTTCCAGGCTGAGTGGACGCCGGGCAAGCGCGTCCGCGCAGCGAGAGACAACATGCCATCCGCGGCCAAGAAGTCCAGCGCTTGGCACAGCCCGTAGCTTTCTGTTTCTCTTCTTTTTTGTTTCATCGCATACGGCCTACTCCCAAACCAACTACGCGACCCAGGAAGGGAAGGTAGTGGCATCGGAGTAGCCGCGAGATAGTGTTGATGTTCGCATCTTTTTGGCTGTCCATTTTTTTGTTTCGTCGCACGCAGCCTACTCCCAAACCAACTACGCGACCCAGGAAGGGAAGGTAGTGGTATCGGAGTAGCCGTGAGATAGTGTTGATGTTCGCATCTTTTTGGGAAGGCTCAGCGCACGCCATCGTCTGCCTGACCCACAAAAAGCCAGCTATGCACTGAGCCATCGACATTTAGTTAGCCAAGCGCGTACACATGCACGAAGCAAAAGTGTGCTGCCGTAGCCATCTTGCGTTAGCTGCAAAACGAAACGCGTTGATGAGTTCCTCAATGGCTATGTCGCCCAGTTGGACTGGCAGCCGGTTGCGGGAGATGCTCATCGGCTGGAACGAAAGCCAGCTGACGTGGTTGAAAGAAGAGATTGAGGGCGAGCTGACCGCGCGCGCTTGGCTGAAGCGCGGCCAACAGACTCAAGCCGACCTGGCTCCTGGGAGTGGTTCCCCTGGCTCCTTGGACTCCCAGATGGGTGGCGAGTCACTGTTTGCTGTCGCTCCTGTGAGTACAGAATGTCGGCCAAAGTGCGCCCTTGGTGGGAGTCACATAGACACCTCAAGCTTTGTGGCTGGACACTTTCGAGCGATGCTTATTGGTATTGCCGCGATCACACGCAGCTGCAAGCGTGACTTTCGAAGACAGGCTGCTTGCGCCCGACCCACTATTGGGGAGGTGCTTTTACCAGAAGAGCTTGGCGCATGCAAAAAAAAGGCATCTGGCTGCTGACTGACTGTCTATGTCAGGTTGCTTTTACAACCTGCGATCCTCAATCGATGTAAGTGCGGCGCATCTTCATCCGGTCCTTTAATTCTGGAAGGCCATATTTGAGATCTGGTTGGAGTCGTCGTGCTGTTCTTGCTTTTTTAATACGCCTTGTTCTGTCGCGATGTAGTTTGCTCCTGCCCCTCTGCGTTCGGAGATCGGCTGTTGGAAGTTTCTTTTGCTGCAGTGTTGTTTTCCTTGTCGTAGCCCTCTTAGAGGTATTCGTAGTCTTTCTTTATGGTGAGCCTTGCTTTACCTTTCCATTGGAAGGGTAGCGCTGCTTTGCCGATGACTGTCCAGTCATCTTTGCGCTGCGAAACTGCGCCGAAGCGGTTGTTGGTGATTGTAGTTCTGTAAGGTTCGAGTGTTGACTGGTGGGCGTCCTGGTCGATTCCTTGGCCTTTGCAGCCTTTGCGTGATCCGTAGCCTGTGGATACCTTGGATCCTCCGTGTCTTTCTCCTTTTGTTGTATCCGCTCTTGTTGTTCTTGGCTTGTTGCCTTTGTCGAATCCTTTGTTGTAACCTTTGCTCCTGTATTTTCCTTTGCCTTTGTTTCCTTTGTGGTGTCCTTTGTTCTTTCCTTTGCCTTTGTAGTTTAATCCTTTTCTCCATGCGCTGTCAAAATCCATTGGTGCAGGCCCTCTCATGCGGCTTGTAGAGTTCCTCAGCTGCGCTTCGTTGAAAGTAGGTTCCAGTAGTTTGGCAAGGTACTTCGTGTTCCTATTGGTAGGCTGAACCTGCTGCGCAGAAGACGTAGCGTCTTGCGTCTATTTGCGTTGTAGCGGTTTTGTCTTACTACCGTGGCTGCTGCTCCTTGTAGGGCTCTTGCGAGGTCTGCTGCTTTTGTTGTTTGTGTGGGATCACGTAAGTGTGTTTTGATGTCTGCGTCCTCAATTTGTCTTGTAGCCACTTGTGCTAGTGTGTCTTGGTCTGTGAATCCGATATAGGCTTGTAGGTTGAACAGCCATTCTTCGTATTGTGAGTAGTCAGAAGAACAATGGTGGCAGTTTGTACTTGTGTAGTCTTTGAATGTCGATGTCTTGTTCCTGTCCCCAGCTAGTGGGGTGGCTCCTACTAGCTAGTACGACATGTCAGGAGAACCAGCAGCAGCATCAGCAGCACACTACTCTCTCTCTCCCTCTCCCACCTCTCCCTCTCCCTCTCCGTCTCCGTCACTCTCTCAAACTCTTTGTCGCTCCTTCTCTCCCTCCCTCTCCCTCTCCCTCCTCTCCCTCTCCCTCTCCGTCTCCGTCACTCTCTCAAACTCTCTGTCGCTCTCTCTCTCTCCCTCTCTGTCGCTCTCTCAAACTCTCTGTCGCTCTCTCTCTCTCTCTCCCTCTCTCCCTCTCTCCCTCTCCCTCCTCTCCCTCTCCTCTCCCTCTCTGTCACTCTCTCAAACTCTCTGTCGCTCTCTCTCTCCCTCTCCCTCTCCCTCTCTGTCACTCTCTCAAACTCTCTGTCGCTCTCTCTCTCCCTCTCCCTCTCCCTCTCTGTCACTCTCTGAAACTCTCTGTTGCTGTCTCTCTCCCCCTCTCCCTCCTGTCCCTCTCCCTCTCCGGCACTCGCGCAAACTCTTTGTCGCTCTGTCTCTCTCCCTCCCTCTCCCTCTCCCTCTCCCCCCTCTCCGTCTCCCCCTCTCTGTCACTCTCAACTCCCTCTCCCTCTCCCTCCTCTCCGTCTCCCTCTCCCTCTCCCTCTCTCTATCACTCTCTCAAACTCTTTCCCTCTCTCCCTCTCCGTGACCCTCTCCCTCTCTCTCCTCTCCCTCTCCCTCTCTCTGTCACTCTCTCAAACTCTTTGTCTCTCTCTCTCTCTCTCTCTCTCTCTCTCTCTCTCTCTCTCTCCCTCTCCCTCTCCATCCAACTTCACTCCTAGCTTGCACACGCCCCCGTTCTGGTACTCTTACCATCTGCTACGTCATACTGTTTGCGTTCATTTTGTTGACACGCAAAGCACCCCTAGAGTCATTGGCCGCCTTTAAGCAGGAAAAACTATGGAAGCCTCGGCGCTTGCAGCCTACATGGAATTGAAATACGGAATCGTCGACCTGAGCGTAAAGCATCGAATTGAGGCCCGCCCAACGGGGCCTTGCCTGGGTTGCTGAGGAACTCAGCGGGCCGCTCCATGAACTGGGCACGCCTCCACCGGCCCAGTGAAAGTTGCACTAGGCGTTCCGCTAAAGTAAGCATCGTGCTTCACTCAAAAAAGGGGTCTGTGCTCTCCAAGGTCGCTGAGACACCGACTCCTCCTCGGTCTCGAAATAATAGATACGACCGCACAGCACCTATGGCTGGCAACAAGGCGGCATGCTTTCATCGCAGCCCCTTGGGCCCGGCGGAAGCTTTTGGTGGGGAGGGGTGCTGTTTTGCCCCTTGAAAGATTTGGATTGCCCTGCGTTGTCAGCCCAATCTCTGAGGTTCCATCGGCGCTGCAAAAGGCCGTGGAGTCCTGACACGACATCTTTTGATCGGAGGCTTCTGCGCATTGATCACAAAAGGCGCCAAATGCAGGCAAAACAAAAACATGAGCAGAAATGGGCGCCACAAAAAACGCGACACCCAAAGCTCACGAACTGCCACTGCTATGGGCAAAAGGGAGGCGCAGCGCTGGCTAGCCAGGGTCCGCCTTTGCGGACAGTCGTTTCCCTTAGGTGTCTAGAGGAGACTTCACCCCCCCCCGGAAGAAAGAGAAAGCTCGATTATGCTCGACTGCTTGCGTCCTTCTGGAACTTCACAGGCGCCATTCTCCACCTACACCAATTCCTTAACCTCCTAACCGTGCCGTTTGACGGACTTAGAGCTGGTTCAAGCATCGAGAGAGTTCCATTCGTGGCATCCACGCAACCCTCGCCCTGGGCCGCTCCGGCCGCGGGCTGCTGAAGCGTGAGGGCCTTGCCAAGCCTCAAGCGGGCCAAACGCACGCGCTCGCCAATTTGCTTCGCGAAGTTAATTAGCCGTTGCGGTCTTGGCTACCACGCTATGGAGTGTCGTGGTATGCCATACTGAGTTACCCTGTCCCGCAAGTCTCTCAATGGAGGCCTCTGCGCAGCAGGTCCGAAGCCAGCGCTGGAGCAGCCTCTTTGTTTGGCAAAACTTTTGCCAGTGCCGAGCGATGGGAAACTCGTCGCAAGCTCAGCCTTCGATGTTCCCATTTGCATGTGTGGCTGTCAAACCCTGAAAGTGGAACGTTCAACAGCTGATCCAACGGGCCAGGGCTGTTTTCGGAAGCGCCGCCTGCAGTGCAAGGGACGCTGTGTCTTGTTTTGAGAGCGCTATTAGCTGATTGGCCGTTGCGAGCTGGCTGGCGGCTGTTTGCTGGGCGCGAGTGCGCTGTTGCTGGCGGCAATGGCCTGCGCAAGCTGCAGTTGCCGCTTGCGGCGCGCCAGCGAAGTCTGCGGTTGGCGCCGGCGTCGGGACTGGTTGCGCGTGGTCTTCTCAGACCGACGTTTCGGCACCTATTCTTTTTGAAGTCTATCGTGCGTTTTTGGCGACAGTTTCACACATTTGCTAGTTCCTCCGTTGGCGGAACTAGCAAGCCTGGTTAGGGGTTGCACTTCGCAAGGAAGTCAACCCCCAACCAGGCTTGCTAGTTCCGCAAATCTCTGAGACTGTCGCACGAAATGGATAAATCCAGCTGCCGGCTTCTGCGTGTGACTCCCTTGTGTGACCCCGTCACCTTCCCTGAGAAATTGACCAGGGCAGTGATTAAGAGGGCCCCAGGAATTTTCAAGTTTTGCGTTGGTGCGGGGCGGCAGGGTCGGAAACTGCCTAAGTCCGACAATTGTCGCTCGCGCCTTGGTGACCTGGTGCTTCATGAGCATGCTGCTGCGATGCTCCACGAAGGGGCGGCAATGAAACCTGGCATTTCGCGGCGAGCAGTGTGGGTCCTTCTTGGCCCGGACGGTTATTTTGCGTTAGGTGCGTGTAAGTGGCGGTGATTTACAAACTTCTGCAATACAAAAAACTGAGCCAGAGGAAGCGGATGGAAAGTAAGATCGGGAAATTGTGAACTCGGGTGCGCGCGCGCTCTTCTGGCCAGAAGCCAGTCAACACCTCCAGCGCCTCGCTAGGAACACAGGTGGTTCAACATAGAACCCCCAGGAAAGCAACCTGGCACAAACAGGATTGAGACCGAAGCGCGTCGCGGCAGCGAATAAAAAACCGCAACAATGCCATCAACATCCCCTTGTTGCACACACCAAGCAGGCAACATCCCACTCCCAGTTGCCAGTCTACGGCTGCTGGCAGGCGCCCAAACTGCTTCAAGAGATTGCCACTTCAAATTGGCAGGGCGCGCGCCCTGTCACTCCAAAATCAGCCCCTGACATGCCGGCTGGTAGTGCGTCGGCTTTCCCTGGAATGAGGTCTTGAAGGCAGCTGTTCCAGGCAGGGCTGGGGTATGGTGGAGCGGCACATGTGAGGAAACTGAGTCTCCAGTTTAAGTTTGCACACTCTCACCCATGCAAGTCGATCGCCTCGCAACCCCAGCCCCAGCTTTCCAGCCAGAGAACTGCGACGCCCGCCCAGTTCGCGACTGACCGGCCTCACTGCCTTGTGCGTCGGCTCATCCCCCCGGTCTGAAGACACCTGCAACACGCAAAGCACAAAGCCAACTGCCCAGTTGCAGTTGAACACGTCATCAGATTCCATTCTAATTGTCACTGCGGCAGTGGATTGAAAAGCACATGTCCTTTCGACCCATGGCTTCACGCGAGCAGCGCTGGCGTTTCAAAGCTCCCTCAATCCGACCTAGGTTCCCATTGAGGCGAACAGCGGCGAGCGCGAGAAGGGTCAACAGTCTCAAACCTGCATACCGACGAAGGGATAGACCAGTGCCAAAATGCTTGGAAGGCACCTGTCATGCTTCAAGGCCGAAAAGATTCAGAGTTGTTTGGCTTTCCCCGACTTGGCGCCATGACTGCCTCTTCCCTATCTCAAGCCCCTGAGCCCGAGCACTCTTCTCTCTCTTCTCTGTCGTTTTTCTCGGTTCTCTCGCGCCTTCTGGAAGGGTGCCCGGGCTGTTTGGAGCGCCTCCGCCAGGTCCTTGAGCAGCTGCTGCTGCTGCGCCTTCTGCTCCACGAACCGCGCCTGGCACACAAACACATTCGCAAACACACCACAAGCCGCGGGCCACACAAACACGACCACACGGACCTTACGACGGAGAGGAAGTCCCGCAGCGTTGGAAGGCTTGAAAGGCATGGGAAATCGGCAATGAGCACGCGTTTGAACAGTTTGCTTGTGGCAAAAGCTCGGTAACCCGGGCACATCATGGCTCGTGAACACGCCGCCTTGACGCGCTCAGATTCCTTCTCCTCGCCGTCCACGACCAGACCCTCTGGGGCCTCAGGAGGATCCTCCTCCTTTGCCTGGCGAGCATAGGAAGGCAAGAGACACCTGCCGCCGGGTGTCAATCAAAAGTAAACGCTGTGAGCTTTGAGCGGCGGGTGAGGGAAAAAGGAAGACAGGAAGAAGAAGGAGGAAGAAAGGAAGAAAGGAAGAAAGGAAGAAAGGAAGAAAGGAAGAAAGGAAGAAAGGAAGAAAGGAAGAAAGGAAGAAAGGAAGAAAGGAAGAAAGGAAGAAAGGAAGAAAGGAAGAAAGGAAGGAAGGAAGGAATGAAGGAAAGGAAGGAATGAAGGAAAGGAGGGAAGGAGGGAAGGAAGGAAGGACGAAAGGACGAAAGGAAGGAAGGAAGGAAGGAAGGAAGGAAGGAAGGAAGGAAGGAAGGAAGGAAGGAAGGAAGGACCGAAGGACCGAAGGAAGGACCGAAGGGGGGGGGAGGAAGGGAGGGAGGGAGGGGAGGAGGGGGGGGAGTGTGGGTGAGAGGTGGTCTGTTTCTGGGTCTCGTCCAGGGCATCCTTCGGGGGTGTCGTTCAGACCGCCTGCTAAGACTAGAACGCAGTCTAGCTTCCCCTAGCCCAAGCAACGCGCAAGAAATGACTGCGCACGCGTTGCGTGCGAGCGCCTCGCAACTCACGCTTCTGCCCGGCGACTTGGTACTTGGCTATGCTGTTCTGACAGTCCACCCGCCCGACGCAGCACGCGCAGTTTGTTTGCCACGTTGCACCTAAACACAAGGAGAGCGCGCGCCGTGCGCTGCGCAAGTGGTCACGCAAGTGGTCGTGCAATTGGTCAGGAAACTACAGCTAGCAAGAAGGGCAACCGCTGCCCTCGGGCATGAGGGCTAAGGCTTGAACGGGAACAAAGGGACAGCAGCCGTGCCGGGAGTCACTTGTAGCCGTGCCCCAGCAAAAGTAGCATATGGAAAGCAGACGCCTTTCAAAGATCCGTTTCAAATATCCCAATGGCCGCGACTAAGGAAATAATTGCAACCCCATACGTAAACACAACTCGCGTGACTATAAACATAACTGCGTCCAAGGGTCGCTTTTTTTTGAGAGCCTTCGTATCATAAGAACCATGGTGACAACAAAACTCAGGAAAGTTGCTTTGGAAGACAAAAACTGTATTTCTTGCGCAGTGCAAACTATTCCTCAGGCGCTTGACTGAGAAATGAGGCCGAGTTTCGCAAACCATTTCATTCAGACCATAGTTGCATTAGACACGCGAAGCGGAACGCTGGGTCGACGCAAGGCAGGCACGAGCTGCGCCTTCCAAGATATATTTGCAGCTGCTGTGCCTCTGTCACCCTTGGATTGCTTCTTTCGTTGCTTTGCGCCTTGCTGGATAATAGCCTGGGCCATTTCTTCACTGTCCTCAGAACATCTGCGGGGCGAGAACAAGCCCTTGTGTAAACTTCAGGCTCAAACAAGCAGAGCATGAGGCCCAACATCTTTACAACAATGTGTCCCTGTTATCTGGTCAATCGAAGAGGGACAAGCGACTCTGCAGATATTAAAAGGAAGCAGCTCGCAAACCCCACGCTCAACACAAATTGGACGGGCTCCTGCCTCGGCCGCTGTGACTTGGGCCTGGTACGCCACCAGGCGCTCCTGCGCGAACATGCTGATTGCATATTGTGACCATGATCTATGCGCCATAAATATTTCTCAGGCCTAGCGCGCCAACGGCTTGAACCTGGATTGAAGGTTCCGTTCCAGGTTGTGTTGGGCCTCTGCCCGCAGATGGCTTACATTCAGTGTTGCTACTTATGCTACTTTAAAAGAGCGCTTACCTTGTCAGTTCCGGCCTAAGAGTTCAGATGGGCCCGTCCGAGCCGGAGCCTGCAGCACTCTGGGGCCCAAGTCTGACTCGACGCGTTCTCAAGATGGGGTCAGGAGCCAATTCAACGGCAAGCAACAGAGATGTTCCGCGATTGAAAAGAAACTCCCGTCACACCAAAACACACAAGCTTTCGGGCGCTGCTAAATTGAGCAACGCCCTCTGACTTTGACTCCGACCCTTGCGCAGCGCAGCAGCGTGCGAACGCCTGCCGAATTGCACAGTTCGACGCAATTGAGGCATCGCTTGCGATGATTGGCAGAGAGATCCATCGAAGGAGCCATGGCATCCGCAAGGACACCCTCATACATTAACTCCGCCTTTGAATTGCGCGGCGCTGCGGCTGCTCCATGGATCAAACACAGGTTTTGTTGCGCGTGCAGCCTGACTGAACAATCACCGTGAGCCTGCAACTGGCTCAGAGTCCCGTTGACCGTCAAAGCTGTCAGGCGCGTAAAGCCTGAGCTCTGCAGCTTGTGTTCCACAAAAAACTGGCAAACACATGCGGGACTTGTGCGAGGCGCCTTGTAGATCCAAACCACATTGCGCGAAGCGCAAACGGCAGTAACTTGATCATGACTGTCACAGCATTTTGTGTTTGCTCAAGGCACCGAGTCGACTGCAGCAGCGGAGTCAAATAATTCTCCATGATTGGCTGCGAGGGCCCGGACAGTAGGCTCATCTTGCTCGACTGCAAGCATCATGATCACGAGCGCAATTGGCTCCGAAATTCGAAGCGAACCCAACATATGTCCACAGGCAAGCATGCAGGTCAAGTACCCACATTCGACAGAGCGTGGATGTGCGCCCAACATATGCCAAAGGTAAAGCCAGGCCGGCGCGAACACACAAAAAAAACTGCTCCGGCATGCTCCTCTGGGTTGTGATAATGGCTCGGCCAAGCTCATGTTCTCTTCAACAGTGCAGCACATTCGTCGACATTGCTCAAGGCTGCGCTGACACAGCCGTACCGCTGGTAGGTTCTTGAGACCAGGCTTTGAGAACATCCTCTGAAAAGTGGCAAAAACCCAAAGACTTTTGGTTCAAAGACAGATATACTGCCTTAATTCATATTGGCGATGCTATAGGAACCACTAAAACCGGCCAAAGGTGGTTTTGGGCACGTTTTCCCACCCGTTGCCGTTTCCGGCCTCGTAGTCTTTGTCGATGGCCTCGAAGTCAAAGGTGTTCTTGGCCGCCAAGTCATTCCGACACTTCCTGGCCATCGAAATTTGGTCTCACAAGTGACTCACAAGTGACTCACAAGTGACTCACAAGGTCATGGCAGCGGAAATGAACCACGGGTCTCAGTTCTAGGCAATGGCACCAAGGGACTCCGTATGGGAAAACAGACAGGAAATTCGGAAAAGGATGTTGCAAAGATGAGGATGTGCTAGGGGATGTGACCTAGCGGTGTCAATTTCCAAAAGGAAACCACGGTCACTGAATGCAAATGCGTGCATGGAGTCTCACAAACTGCCCGCGGGTGGCATCTCACAATTCATGCGGTGGCTTCGTTGCCTCCAGGGGATGAAAATGGGTCTCGTGCTTACATAACTAGCAAGGATGTCTGCAAAGCCCACGTCACTTCAGGGAGAGTGCCAACGGCGTTCAAGCTAAGACGAAGCGGCAGAACCACTGTGAGGTCCGGAAGACGCTTTGCCTGCGCAGCACGCCGGTTTTGGCCGGCCGATTTCGGCAACCCACCTTTTGGTGGTGGGGCCAAGGTACGCTCTGCAAAAAAGAGCCCACGCGAAACTTGCAAACTGTGAGACGTGGGGGAGGAAACAAAAGGTTGCAAGCTGAGAAGCAGTTGCTACCCAACATAGCTGGTGACAAGTCGAACAGGGCGCAATGGCATGCTTACCAGCCCAAGGCCTGTGGGAGGCCGAATGCCAAGAGTACGCCATGCCCTGACGGTCAAACTACGACATTGCCTGCAGTTGCGCTCTGCCTCACATGTTGATCAACTGGGTTGGTCCAACTGACCATTTGCAACCCTCAAGTGGTGCTAGTTGTTCAGTGGGGAAGCAGTCCAAGGTCCAACAACAGCGCAACCAAGTCAAAATGATGGAATTTGTAAATGCAGCAGGTCCACAAAGTCAAATTCTCCACCCTCTGGGCACAAGCGCGCATATTTGAAGGGCTTCGGGTGACATTTGGAAGCTGTCCTCAGTTTCATTCAGCCCCATTGCAGTGTTCAGCATTGGACATACTACGTGTTTGCCTCTTCAAACATGTTGAGCTGTGGGCCTGCACCTATGATGGGTCGAGCTGTGATGATTTTGCCGCCCGGCGGCTGAGTAACGCAAGCAGTGCATCGAAGCACGCCAAACAAATCAGTCGAGCAGTGTCGACAACCTTGTTACTTTGATTCTGCAAAGATGGAATCTAAAGGTCTCCATACAAAGTGCTATAACCCCCGGCGCCAAACGCATAGAAACCAGCAACACAAACACCCAAAGCCCACCCACCTCTCGCGTGTGATTGATCCCCGAAATGGCACTTATCTCACGCACGTGATTCTGTGGAACACCTATTATGTGTTGCTTTTGCACCTGCCAAACCTTTGTTGCAAGACGTCTTGAATAAAACAGTGTTTGATTTGGGCTGCAATGACTGGTGGTTGGGGCTGCAAAGGCAGTGCGGGTTTCTATATGCCCGGCGCTGGGCTCGTTCCAAAACAGCCACGAGGGGTGACCTCCGCCCGTCCACGTCGCCCCTCCTTGGTTAGCAAGTTCGGCAGAGACCTGGCAGCTTTGATCTCCTCCGCCATCTCCTGAGGGCTTCCCCTGCAGGGTGGTCGATCCACCCCGTGTTGGGCTCAGGCTACTGGATATGTTGTCGGTGCAAGAGTCTATTCCCTTGCGGCTTTATTCAAGGAGAAGCTTCAGCCCATGAAATCTACAAATGGAACCAAGAGCATGTTCTACGTCTGGCAATCCAATGTGAGACCGTCCGAGGCCCTTAAATGAAGCCTGGTGCCGTTGTGTCACTCTCAGGCGGCTCGCTTCCCCTTAACATCAAGCAACTTGTTTGATCCGGGCAAGCCCTACATTCGTTGCCTGACCTTGCGGGCATAGTTGGCCCTTGGACATTTGTGATTGATTCACCAAGTTGATACATCATGCTAAATCCAAGCGCTGTAAGAGCAACGGCGTACAACACTTCACGGGCATATTCCTCAATCAGTGTCAGCCACTCAGCCACTCAGCCACTGTTTTCACGCAGTAACTCAGCCACTCAACTTGAGCAGCTGAGTGGCTGAGTAAAAGCATCAGCACTCGTCCAATAAAATTCACATCATGCACTATGATTGGGCAGAGACAATGGAATTGGCAGGCCAAAAGACGGCCCTTTTGCTCTCCCCACCAGACTGTCAACGCATCAACGCGCCTCGTCCGCCAAGTCACCAAACCATGTGCCGTCCAAAATGCAAGCGCCGCCTAAGATCCACGCAGCTGCAAATGCTCGAACCTCGGACCTTCCAATGAGCTGTTCAATGAGCTGTCATGCTCTGACATCCTCTCATGTTGGATCAGTTGTCAAATCGTCTATGCGGTTTGCACCTCATGGCTGTGGGAAACGACCTTTCCGTGACACCAACGTGAGCCATCCCTGTGACTCTTTGTCGCTTTAGAAGGGGGCGCTTGGTATCACAACAAGTTCTTAAAACCCAACTTTCCACAATGGGCACCATTTCCCTTGGATGTCCCCTCATACTTTGCCAACCGTTTCGAGCTCTTCGAACGCTGTTTGGGCTGTCCAAAACAGCCAAGAATGGCCAAGTACACGCCAAGCAAAATGCCTGCATGCGACCATTAACTACTACAACGCAATGTGCATGCATGAGGCTTCATCACCTCTCCAACCCCTCAAAACAAACTCTTGTCAAAACACAATTGGAGAAACACATGTGATGAAGGCCAGGTATGAACCGATGCTCAAAGGGGTGGCTCCCAAAGGAATTGGACACCTATGCTGCTATGCTTGTATTTTTCTCTTGTGGGCCGCTGGGAGTCCAGCAGTGGGGCCCTAAGGCGTCCTTCATGGCCTGCACGAAGAGCTCCTCCGAAGGCACTGAACCGAAGAAAAACTTGAATCTCTTTGAATCTCTTTGAATTAACTTTGAATCTCTTCATCCGAAGCTCTTTGTGAAACGGGCGGGCACGGGAGGAGTCACCGAGGCTCGCTTAGCGATAGTCCTCCCGCTGCTCGTCGTCCAGGCCATCCTCCTCGGGTTCCTAGGCAGCGTGACGAGTCTCTGGAAGAGCACGTGCCAAAGACAGGCAAGGCCTTTCGAATCGGGGGTAAAACCATCGCGTGGGCGCATTGGATGCGTAGGGACCGGCAGCCCATTTGGTCCGGAGTCCCGCGCTGGCGCTTGCCCCTCTTCTTCTTCCGGGTCAGCAGGCTTCTGGCGAACCGAAATGTGTTTGGCACCATGCAAACCTCGGCCCAGCCTACCCAACAATCAGAATTCAGCTTCCCTGTCTTCCTTCTGCGATTCAGTGAAACACGAGACGAAACAGTATATAACGTCTGGCTGAGACTGGTGTGAGGATCGCGCTGGCAGGTACAAGTTATTTCGGCATTTGTTCGCAATGCACACGCACGCGCGCACGCACACACGCACTCATGCACACCGCGCACATGACACACACACGCAACGCACACACAACGCACACTCAAACCATGTGAAAGCGCGGGCCTGCGCAGCGGAGTGGCACAAGCAAAGCAGGGAAGCTCAGCACAAACTAACCCCGAGGCACCTCCTCCTGCGGCACCCAGCCCTCAGGGAAGAGCGGCTTGTCATCCTGGCAACGCAGAAACCACAAAACATATCGCGAGCGTTGAGCCACAAATTCGCACGCGAGCTCCTCTAGCATCGGCTGCAGCAAGGCATCCAGCCTCATTTGCTCCTTCCGGGCCTGCCACAGCGCGGCAAGCTCGTGCAACTCCTTGATTCAAACACTGCGTGGCGGCGTTTTCGCCGGCCCTTTTGCAATGAACGGGTGCTTGGATTCAATGACCGAGTGCTAGTACATTAAAGGACCGGATATCCCAGAATGCTAAGAAAGCCTTTTGCCAAGCGGGGCCTTGCTTGATGTATTCCACAGCATTTGTCAAGTAAGTGATTGAGTGAGTGAGTGAGTGAGTGAGTGGGTGAGTGGGTGCTTGAGCGAGTGAATGAGCGCGCGAGCGAGTGAGCGCAGCTTCCTCAAATCCAAAGTACTTGACCGGCGCCCGAAGCCGACCGCTCCGCGCAAACAAGTCTAAAGTGCTGCGCCTGATACGCAAAACAGCATCATGCGCAAAGTGCTTCACCTGCCACGAAAGGGAAGTCCGACCTTTACGTTCTTCATACGCGAAGCTTGCTTCCTTCCGCAGCTCCGTCTGGAAAGTGGAATTTGTGCAAAGGCAATACGCAAAACGGGTAGCCCATGGTAGCCCCTTCATTTTGGTCCTAGTCTTCGCTCATGTTGGTCATCAAAAGGCGCCGGGCACACATCCTTCACCCGCTCCAGCCGCTCTTGGACCTTGGTCCTGAGCGTGCCCGGGTTGCACGCTGCCTTCAATCAGTCATTTCACCCGCAGCCCCTGCCTCCCGTACCCCAAGACCTCACAAGACACAAGACATTGGCTTGATCGCAGGCATTGCACCCTATAGAATCCCCACGCTGACTTGCAACCTGAGCTCTCTGTCTTTCAAAGTTGTTCCGGCCAAAGCCGTCAGAAGGATTAGACAAGTCAAACGCATGTCCGAGTCCCTTTCTCGAGTTGTTGGTAAAGGATACATAGGACCAATCCTGTTTTCAGGCGTCCAACCAGCTTCGAGGCAACACCGCACCCAAGCTGCATGCTTCTCATGCTCTCCTCCAAATCTCCTCCAGCTTCAGCACGGGGATTTTGTAGACCTGACCCGAGCCGGCCGCTTGTGGGATATCTTGCTTCGTGAAGTTTGATAGGGATGACGAACTTTGTGCGGTTCCGGAGGAAAACCATGTCCCACCAAAGTCGTTCACCCTGGGCCATATGGCTAGCCATATGACTCAGTTCGTGACCGATTGAAGCCCAGCCAGGCCTCGCTCAGCATCTCACACTGCTTCGCCACGCCGGACCCGGTGGGCCCGGTGATGAGGATCCGCGGCGGCGGCAAAGCCTCGCTTTGCCAAAAGTTTGCGTGCGGCTCTCGGGGGTCTTTCTGGACACAAACTGCGAAGCCTCTAGTTTAACGAAAACAGAAAAATGGGCACGAAGCCCAGGTCCCAAACGCATCCCGCAATGTAAAACCCAGCGCAAAACCGTTGCTCAGCCATGCGCCGGCTCTTTGGTTGGCACAAAGCTTACCGGCTCCTTGACGAAGGCCTGCTAGCACATCACGGGCGGAGGGAGCATTCTGCGGGCGCCGCAAAACTCAAGGTGTCAGGCCACCAGACCTGCAAGCCTGGCAACGGATCACAGGCCTGACTGGCCGCCTCGTTGGCTAGGGCAAAGACCTTGTTCCGGTAGACGTGCTGGAAGTCCTGGCGTTTTTTCTTCCCATGGCGCCTAAGTACATTGATTTGTCGCTTCGAAAATAGTTGGTGATTCTAGTAGTTACCAATGGCAAGTCACTCCCTGAGTGCCGCAAAGCCCGCGGCGTTTGAAACAAAGACCGCCCTCCCTGCGCCTTCTGCCCGGGATAGAGCCAGCCTTGGCGCGCGTCCGGGCAACAAGCTGTGCCAGCGCAGAGGGGTCTCAAGCGTGCAAATTTCAATTTTTCCCCAAACAAAATAGACCACAAAGATCCTCCGAAAACCCATGAAGTCGCGCAGCCTGAGACAAACTTTCGGGCCCAGCTTCCGGACGTCCAAATTAATAATTATATCGTCGCTTAATCACGTGTTCGCGCAACCGACGCGCGCGATCCTGTAAATGTTTAAAAAAATGCAAAACGCTGCAAATGTTTTTGCACGTTGAGCACGGCGATCCCGCAAAAGGGTCGGGCGGGAACCGCGCGAAGTTGCAAGAAAAACCTCTTCAATTTCATATCAACCACCACGCCTGTTCCTGCAAAGAGGGTCCACGATGTTGCCGAACGTGTTCGGTGCTGCCAAGAGACTGTTGAACCACCACGTCTCACCCCGCACGAAGGAGACAAGCCAGGCAACACGACCGCGGAGACAAGCAAGTTGCTGGAAAGTGCAAGCTTGGGACTGTGAAACAGACACCCAGCATAGCAGGCAACACAAGCAACGCAACAAAGAAGCAAGCGTGTCACACCTGCGCGCGTCTTGAACGAAGCTGACCGCGTGCCCGTCGCGCGCATTTCCGTTGGGCATCACCCTGCGCGAGCTGCGCCCGCCTACCCTTGGGCGCGCGCCCGGCCGACAAGCGAAAACCGTCCGCGTGCTGCAGCATCTAACAACTGCCAACTCAAAAGGCACTGGCCTCAGTCGCGCGGCAACCAGACAACATGAAACCAGAACCAACACAACAAAATAAAACAACGGGCTGCTGATCCAAAGTTCGAGAGCAGAACAGAACTGTCGTCAAGGAAAACAGTGCGGCAAGCAAAGCGCAAACCAAGCGAGCAACTATTTGACACCCTGCGCGCTCCTGACCACGCGTGCGCGAGGGCACCCCAGCGCGCGCCCTGCGCCGGCCCGTCGTGCACACGAGCGCCCGCCGCGCTTACACTTGCGCGTGGCCACGCGCAAACACACCGCCAGCCAAAAAAACGAAGGCCTGCAGCTTCTTGCAAGTCTGTTGGCTGGTGTGCCCAAAAAGCAAAACTTGCAAGAAGCAGGTTCAGTTGATTTTGGCGAAGGCGGATTTTTCCCGAAAGCACTGCGAAGGGCTCTTCAGGAAAAACTTGGAGCGAGTTGCACCAACGAGTAGCACACATGGCTGCAGCAAGCTGCACTAGCAAGTAGCACCAGGCGAGTTGGACCATCAAGATAGCACTAGCAAGATAGCGCTAGCAAGATGCACTAGCGAGCTGCACTCGCAAGATGGCACTGGCAAGCTGCGGTAGCTAGTAGCGCTAGCAAACTGCGCTAGCAACATGCAATAGCCAGTAGCACTAGCAAGAGAGTTGCACGAGAGGTTTCAGTGTATGACACTAGACAAGAATCTATGCTAATATTCTCATGAATTCGCGCGTGACAGACTTTGAAGGCGGCGGGCCTGCGCCAACTTGGTGATCGAAAAGTCGACCCTCTGCAGAGATCCGGGCGGTCGATGTCAAAAACTGGGACTTTGCGACTTTTTAACACGCAAGGCCATCGCGGCGCTGGCACGCACTTTTCCTCAGCGACAGCCAGGTCTGTCAGAAAGCTGAGAAGAGCTCGCCGCAGCACAAGGTGCCTGCGTCACTACCGCAAGAATCTAAAACCGCAGCTTGAAAGAGGTGGCGCGCTTCCAGCCTGGGGCAACGGAAGGTCACGCTGCCGAGGCGCAGGCTGAAGGGCTGAGGCGTGCGCTAACAGGAAAGGGAGACGCGCAGCCCCCGTGACTCGAAGGCGAGAAGGCTGGGGCAGTTTGAGCGAGTTCTCGGCCGCAACTTCTTGCAGGTACAAGAGGTGTGCGGAGTGGTAAGAGTGCACGGCACCGCCGCGTAGCTTTGCAGGGGGAGCTGCAGCTTTTGGGATGAGCAAGGCTTCGAGCAGAGCGTCCCACCCGCGCCTGTACGTGGCCGCCGAAGCATACAGTAGATCACACGGATCTAACCCGGCAAAGGCTAGCTCACATAACTCACATAACTGTATGCACACACTTGAGGTCACTTTGGAATGCTGCACAAGGCCACCCCCGCGGCGTCGAGTCTTCCCGAATTAAACAACACTTGCGCCTGAAAACCCTGGCTGGCGCGGGTTGCAGAATGTCCACTTGCACACTTGACTTACAGAGACTATTACTTTTTACTCCGAGCGCAAGCCCTAGATCCATAGAATCCTTCACGAGACATCTCACGTGTCACAACGTAACTCTGCGCAACTCTCTTTCGCTCTCTCCAAATTTGCGTCGCTCCGCTCTCCCTAAGGATCTGAGTTCTGTCGAGGTCTCTCTGGAGGCCAGCAATCTTCAGACCAAGTATGCGCTATTCTGAGACGCTCGCGCTGTCTCTCTGTGCACAGGATCTTAGAAGAACCCGCAATACTTTCGGACAGTACTGTACCAAAAAGCTGCTACACAAGGACTATTCCAATAGAACAACATAAAAGACAGCGTAGGCATTGGGGGTCCTACCATGTGTGTAGATTAATAGACACTGTGCATACATAGATGTTCAACCCCGCCCTGGCCCGGTCCCCCAACGTGTGCCAGGAGGAGAGTAATTGTAAAAAGTGGGATAGCGACTGACACGGCAAACCGGGGGCCCGAACGCTCCTTCAAGGTCACTGGGCCTCAGGTCGGCAACTGAAGCCACACATCGCAAACCTCACGCCTCGGGGCCTTTTTGCCTGCGCAGTCCAAAGACCCCGGTTTGGGGTCGGAGTGACTTACGAGTGACTTCACACAGATCAAAATTTGCGCTTGCCAAGCCTCTGCTTCGCCGGGCCCGTTGAGCCCCATCGAAACATTGGCTCGATCGATTGCGCGTGGCCAAGTTTCTCGCGGTCCGGAGCTCGGGTTTGGGAAGGCTGGGAAGGCTGGGAAGGCTTTTTGCTTTTTGCTTTTGCTTTAGATGTTTCGCTCAAGCCATGCCCGGCGCTTGGGCGCCCGGCAGTACGGCCCGCAGCAGCCCCAGGAGATCACGGGCCGCTCCGCCGGCTCAGCGCCGTCCTCAACCTCCTGGCAGATCTCTCCGTCCCCCGATTGACTCAATCTCACGATTTGGCACTCCGTTTTTGACAACACGCTGGCACATTTGGACGTGCGCTGGCACACGGCGAAGTCTTTGACCCCATGTTAGGCAGACTCAGGCAACGACAACTTTCTCTTCAAGCTGGGTGCATCGCGTCCATCGCTCAGCTCGGCAGCTCGGTCGCTCTCCGGCCTCGGGCGTCCACTCCTCAGGGTCGGGAATCTCGGCCGCCATGGTCTCGTCCTGGCATGCGGGATGGGATTTGTTTCTCCTTTCGGCAGTCACTCAACCAGACCGAACCAAACCTTCAAAATTAGCTGGGCTGAAGACGGCTGACGATGGAAGATTGGACAAAGCGCTTTAACATCCTGCGAGACAAGCCGAAATGGGATCTTGCGGGCGTGAAACAGTGAACATTTGGAGCTAATTTCGACGCTGTGGCGGCAGAGTGAAACCGTCCAAGGAGCGACTGAGCATCCCAGCAGTGTCACCTTTAAAGGCACCCCAGCCCCGTCTTTCAGCCGGCCACCCACCGCCTTCCTTTCTGCATTGCCTGCTGTTAACTCAACACTTTTCCGTACCATTGCTTGTGGGTTACCAAGACAATAGCAGTCTTCAACAACTACATCATCAAGTATTCTTGAACGGCATCAAACTCAGGTCTTCTGGCGCTCAGACACATATGTTCAAGCTCTAGAGATGTCCTCGACAACCTCGTAGAATGGGTCGATGTGCTTCCTGATCTGCGCAAACTGCTCTTCCTGCGCGTGGCATTGACTGACCGCCGTGACAGCTTGTTTGCGTGACTTTTTGCAGGAATTTTGCTACGCCATGGGAAGTTCAGGATGTATGAGCTGGATATTTGCGGGGATGAACATCGGTCCAAACACCACACGGATCTACAATGACACGATCGAACAAATGCCATCCGAACCATCATTAATATCCTGACCAAAACACCAAGCATTTTTTTGTATGTACCGATTTGGGCAAGCCCTGTCGTGGCAAGCAGGAGTAAAACAAACACATGGTGTCTGTTCGTGGGCCGGATTTGCCATCGACGCTTCAAACGCAAAACACAATTTTGTTGATTAGCTAAAATGATGATAACTTGAATCAGAATTCCAAAGTAAACTGACCTCTGAACAACGCACACACACACACACACACACAAACACACTGACCAAACTCGCCTTCGAGTGGATCCTACAACTAAGATTCGTCTGCAATTTGCTGGGTTGGCTTGGTCCCCTATTGTTCAATCGTGTATGCCGAGTGTTGGGGAACCTCTCAGTGTGCGGCCCAATGTGTTCCTTTGCTCAACGGTGCCGTCCGAACGTCCTCGTCGACCTCCAAAGCCACATCCATCAAGCGGAGGCCGTCCACGGCCCTCAGGCCCTGGCGCGCGAGGCGCGCGAGAAACTAGAAAAAAAGAACAGAAAACGCGGGAAGGACGTTGAATTTAGGGATTGCGACATTCCTTGTGGCCGTTCCCGTGGGAACCGTGGGAACCGTGGGAACCTTGTTCACGAGTGGAAAGCAGGAAAGCCCTCTAAAAACAGTCCAATCACAAAACATCGCATGGTTGCCCAATGCATTGCCAAAACATCTGGAAACAATCTCGGCAGGGAAGCATGTTTAGGTGAACCGTTGAAGCGCAAGGAAAACGTTGGCACCGTGGAAGCATTGAACATCCACACGCGTTGGATGATACTTGTTGATTTGAGCACAAATCAAACTGGGTTGTGCCAAAAAGGCCGAATCACATGCAACTTAAACAGGTTCAAACTCACAGATTCACATGTGGCACACTGATGAGCGGGTTGAAGGAAGCCAAACATAAACATTTTCTTTGTGACTCATTGCCTGAGGCAATTCTACAGTGGAGTGGATTGCTTAGACTGGGCATGGTCCGTCCCACATGGCTAAGGGTGTTGTTGTGCGAAGTAAGAGTCTTGCCGGTGACGCTAGGAGGGGGGATACCAGTAGCCGCAAAAAAAGCATCCGGCCAAAGAATAACTCTCACAATTCCCCAAACGCGCGTCGCAAAGAGAAGAAGGCCTCCTTCGAAACGATGGCCAACAAGCCTGTTGCCAAAGGCAAGCCGACTAGCGGAATGAGCAGGTTCCCCTAAAGCCTAAGAAAAGCATAGCGCTGCTGACCGACCTGCTGGCTCTTTAGAAAGCTTGGCGGCATAGCATTTGTTAACGTATACGAATGGAACAAAAAACAGCCAATGCTATGAAGTTAATTGTTGATCCTAGCTTCTCTCCAGAACTCACGACGAATCGACAATGGAGATATGCTACCTGCTTTCATCACCAACATCTGATAAATCATTTTCTCAAGTTCTACAGACCCGAGCAACCCAACACTTCGAGCCTTGCTGCTTTGAGCGCCGAATCATTTCGGCGTAGAGGTAACAATTCGTTCAGCCCATTCACTTTCATGTCTACAAACTGTTGCAAGGCGAATTCTATGTTCTGCAGTTTAGCATGGGCAATGGCCCATGGCAGCATAGGAATACGTTGATGGAGCAAGCGGCTGGAGGCAGCTCGACAACGTCAAGGCATCCTTCCCCTTCGTCGAATTCGTCTGAATTAGATGATCTCGTGATCGAGTGGGGGGAGGAGCCTTCGCAAGGGAAGTGTTCATGATCAATTCATCAATTCAATATCATCTTCAATTTCAATTTCAATTGTTTGAGATTTGAACGAGGCCGCGGCCATCGCCTGGCGAGGTGCTTGTGTCGTGCTTCGAGACTGGTTAGGTGCTGGTTTGTGTCAGATTTGGACGAGGCGACACGTTTGTCTAGGCGTGGGGGGGGAGGCAGGGAATCAGTTGACATTTGAAGCGGCGCAATTCCGTTCGGCAAAGCTGTCCAGGCGAGCCCTATCACTCTCGTGGCCTACACGTTGGGAGCGTAGCCTTTTGCCCCACATCCAAAAGTTGCCTCGAAGGCAGCCAGCTGATTCTCCAGGGTCTGCGGGGGCTCCAAGCCTCAGAATCCCGAAATGGGATGGCCTCGATTGGTTCTCCCAATCAACAGGCCTTCTGACACGGAGTGCCGAATAGAGCAGAGTGACATGCTTTCTCGCTATTTGTTTTGCTCAGCTCTATCCCCCAAAAGGGCCAAGGCCTGGACTCAGGCCCCGCGACTGCAGAGTCTCCGTCACGTCCGCCTCCTCACCTACCTGCAGCAGCAGCACCTTGGCTGTCTACAGCGTTTTTGGATCAGGCGACGGGCCAACTCACAACAGAGCCCAACAACCTCAAAGATCAACCATTGCCTCTAGTGACTATAACAGGCAGCCACTGCAACAGGCCATCCCATCTCCCCACCTTGCTATGGCCCTAACTCAGAGGTTGACAAGCTTTTGTCTTAGTACGTAGGTGTTTCAACTCAAGGCGAGGTCACCGAACCATGCCAGCACCACAAACACCGCCCTGATTCGCGTGAACATCCTGGCGGCAGGTGCCCGGCCTGGTCCAAGTTGAGCCCCAGCTGCTTCAGCGCTTCCAGCTGCTCTGCGGACTCTGGGAAGCCCTGAGGGAAAAAAAACGGCCTTTGCCATCAGGCTATCCACCCAAGACCAACTCACACTTTCCCGAAAAGCTCCAAAAGACACGCAGAAGCGTGGGGCCCTTGCGCGCTCGACTCGAAGCTCATGTCGGCGTGTCACAGAAAATCATGGTCAAAGGAAGTTTAGAAGGAACTTCAGATGGTGCGCGCACGAAAAGATAGCTGTTGCAGATAGCTTTACAAGATCAGATAGAGCATGCGAAGAGAAAGCGTACGCAGAGAGCTAGCGCGCGGATAAGATGAAGACAGAATGAACGCATGCGAGAAAACATGTGGGGGGAATAGAAATCGCCAAAAAGAGAGGTTTTGGCGGGTCCACGTCGATGTCAAGGCTTCGGCAATGGCAACGCGAAGGTTTCGCAAGGTTTGGATTGCGGCAGCCGCAACACTTTCGCAAGTTCAGGTACAGATTTCCTGGCAGAGGTAGAGAAAGAGAAAGAAAACAGAAAGAAAGCAAAACCATAAGAGAAAAGAAAGAGAGAAAGAACAATAGAACGCGCAAAGAAAGGGAAAGAGAAAATAAAGAGAAAGATAAAGAGAAAGATAAAGAGAAATATAAAAAGAAAGGCAAAAAGACAGAGAACGCGAAAGATAAAGGAAAAAAAGAGTAAGAAAAGAAATAAAAGAGAAAGACAAAGAAAAGACAACAAGCAAGAAAAGAGAAAAGAGAGAGAAAGAAAGCGGGAAATAAAGATACAGAGAAAGAGAAATACAAAGAGAAAGAGCAAGAAAAGAGAAAGAAAAAAACAAATGAAGCAAAAAGAAAGAAAGAGAAAGAGAAAGATTGCAAAGAATGTGAAAGAAAAAAGAAGGATAACCATAGCTTTGTATTTCTAGAAACTTCCGACCCACCGGCTTCGCCGGCTCTATGCTATCCATGCAATCAATCCGCCAACCCCTTCTCCTCAAAGGGGGAGGGAGGCGCACGGGAAGGGTGGTTACAGCACAAGTCCAAGGTTGGTTGGTAAATGAGCATAGCCGAAGATTCAACATTATCAGCGTAAGCAATACCGTCATCGTAGCATCCTTTGCACCTCAAAGACGTCTTTTTCGTGATCATGATCATTATTGTCGTCATCCGTGTCTTTTTCGTGTGCGTTTCAATTGTCCTGTTAGAGCCAGACATCATGCCCGTGAGGAGGGGCTTGCATTCGCAGTCTGTTCTGGACTAGCCATTACGCTCTTTGCTGCCACTACCGCCGCTGCTGGCTGGCGTCGAGGATGATGCTGATGATGATGACGATGATGATGATGACGACGATGATGACCACCATCATGGTGATGATGCCATGCTCATCATCACCACATCATCATCGTTGTGACCTGATTGGAGATGCAGAGGATGCGTAGACATGATTATCATATATGTTGCTGGCGATGGATGGGGGCCCGCACCATGCCGTAAAAGCAACGATAATCCACACTTGCATCACATAGGTCGATCCACACTGGCCATCCTATTGATGCGTCGACGGAATTCTTCGTCCAAGTTGTGTTGGGCGTCTCGTGCTCGGACGTACTTCCTGTGGTGCTCGTCTGCAAGCCAGTGTCCCTTTCGGATACACCAATCAAGCAGGGGTCCGTCGCACTTGCCCGGGTCTGTGGCCGCAATGATGGCACTCACGTTGACCACGTATCCATGCTTACCAAGGTTCAGCCCAGTCCTTTGCGAACGATATGTCAGTTGAACGCCAGGGAGCAGCATCTGTAGACAATGTCCCCCACTGGGCGCTTGCGCTCGCTGACCAGGAGCTTCATTTCCTCCCTGGTAATGTCGAGGATCTTTGCTGCAATCCACAATTTGTAGAAAATGTACAGCCCCTCGCATTTGAGCGCCAAATAACGAATGTATTGGTTGCGCTCCTCGACCGTCCTGAAGGTCCTTGCCCGAACATTCTGAGATTGAGAAACCTTAAGTTCATTAGATGGTAGAATGATACCATCCCGATCAATATCAGTGATGTTGGGGTAGCTTCCAAAGTCATTGTGGTATGGACACGCGTGAGTTCCTTCGAGTGTGGCATCAATTGTTCTCTTCTCGCCAGCCTCGAACATCCCCCACATCCTTGACATTTGCAGCGCAATGAACCCTGCCATGTATTGAGCCTCGCGCGGTTCATCCATGCAGATTGCCATCCTTTGGGAGTTGATGATATCCCGTGCTGCCATGTCATTGTCGCGGTAATCCCATTCATTGTCCTCTTCTTCGGACACGTTGCCGGATGTATATCCTTGTGCGCCCATATCGTCATCCTCGGGATCATCTTCCATTCCACCATCCTTCCCCTGTGCTGCCGTACTGTCGTTTGCTTCCTCTTGTGCTCGCCTGGCATCTCCGGACACGTTGGGTTTATGATCATCATCATCGTCATCGGAGCTGATGTTGACGCAGAATCTCCCGGTAGAGATCAGTTGCGCTCCACACTCCAGGCATATACAGAAGCACGTAGGAATCGCGGTTGCACAAGACGGACAAATTCGGCATCTGAGCCCTTCCCAAGTCTCGTCATTCAGGATGATGGTCTTGCTGATCTCATCTCTGATCTCGTTGGTCAAAGCTTCCAACTCTTCCCGTTTGCCGTCCCGAAACAGCTTGCAGGCACGATCCACCATCTCTTGAACGTAGTGTAGATTGTCTGCGCCCGCCTCTGTTTCCGGCGATCCCTCGATGACCTTTGCAACGTGCTGAAGGAACATCAAGGCCGACTCTTGGGATGAGCCAACGAATCCAGGACAGATCTCATTCTCGACGCATTTCGAGTACGCCCGCTTGACGTCCTCGATCTCCAGGCATTTTCCTTCGTTGCTCTTGCCGATCCAAATGGACTTGACTTCATAGAACGGGATCACATCGAAGACCATAAACGTCCCGTTGAACGCAACTCCAGCTCCATACCGTGTGAGAGTTGCACTGGGAATGTAGATGATTGCAATCGGATCCCCAACCCGCAGGTTGCGTAGCGTCGTCTTCGTCGCCATGTTCATCTTGTCCCATGGAGCGAATGCCCCGAAGTGCAACGCCAGCCTGTTTCCGCCACCGATTCCGCCGGGGACCAGCCCGCAACGTACGATGCTTGGCAGGTTTTCCACATATGTCACATGGAATGCTCCTCCAAGAGAGTCACCCATCCTTGCGGAATACCTATTCGCCAGTGCGGATGAGCCCAAAGTCGCTGTGACCAGTTGTGACCCGAATACACCAATGTCTGTACCATCCATCGCATCTGCCGAGTATCGTGTCGATCTCACCCTGATCGTGGCCCATGTAGTTCAACTCCTGTCTGGCGGCCCTCGCGTCATTCGGGCTCATGATGCTCGGAAACCTCGCTGCTAGGATCTGAAATCTCGATTTCTTGTATCCAGATTCCTGCCACTTGATCACCTCCATGATGCCCATGTAGCGTCTCGCTTTCGAAGTTTTCGGTGGGAATATGTTGTTCAGCCGGTCGTCGATGATTGCGTCAATGTCGACCCACCCACCTTCGTCACACTTGAAAGCACTTTTTCGGCAATTGCCGATCTTGTGTCGAAGGACTCTGCAAAGATCATGAGATAGCTGATTAGCTTGATCTCTCGATCCGAACACAGAATGTTCATCACCAATCTTGCAATGTGGAGCGTCATCGAAGGGGTAAATGCAGAAGTTGATGCTTTTGCCAAGCTGTATCACATCGATCTGCTCTAAGATGGCGCCCTTGGGGAAGAATTTGGGATCCGTCATTGAAGCGTACGCCCATGGCATGTAGACGCTACTCACGTCACCAAACCTCGGGATGTAGCCTGGAATGGTGTCACATCCTCGCTCCAACGTTGTCTTGAATGTCCTGTGATCCCCGCACGGGTTGAAGGTAAGGTCCACACCTCCGCATTGTAGCTCACCTCCTTCAGCCTTTTGTCCTCCTGTCTTGTGTTCCTTGGATGTCGATGATGATGGTTCCTCAGCATCCCCCATTTCTTCATCCGAGGACACGTGATCGCTGCTGAGAAGTTCACGAATCTTCCTCATCGCCCTCTCATTTCCAGCAGCCTCTTCAAACTTCTTGTAGTCGCCGTCGTGGGCTAAATTCGCGCACTTTGCACAAATTCCCTTTTCCTCCATGCGCTTCTCCATTGAGTCCAGGAACTTGAGTGCAGCTTTTCGCCCATCAATCACGCGCTGCTTCTTCTCCTCCTTCTCTTCTTTGGGCTGAGAGCTTCGACTCTGATCTGGCTCTGGGCCGCGATCATCGTCTCCACCCTCTGACGCCTTCCTCTTGGATCCTTGGTTGGCCTGCTCGATCACCAGGGAGTACGGATGCTTGGGCTTGATCGTGTTCATGATGTCCAACACCTCTTTTGTGGGTGCTCCGAGCTGAGCAGAAGGCTTGTTCCGCTTCCGGTTTTGTCCCGTCGTGTGGCTCACGTTCCCCGCGAGGTGCCGCACGATGGATTGCTCGAACTCCCTCTTGATCTTCCATACGTCTCTCCACAATGGAAGTTCGTGTTGGAAGTATGACATCACTTCGAAGAATCCCAACACCATCTCAACGACGTTCCCCAAAGACTCTTCATTGATAGTCTGTCCCAGGAGTTCATACATCGTCCCCTGGTCAAGCACGCTCTTGATCCATGATAAATAGGCCACGTTGCCAAGATCTCTGTCAATCACATAGATGGAGGTCTTCTCCTCAACCCCTTCGGAAATCCTGCGCATGACCACATCTCTGGCTGCACACAATTGCTTTCCGTGTCCGTGACCGTAAAACTGCGCCGCCTGATTTTCTCGTCATGCTCACGAAACCCACGTGGGACAGCTCCTTCTTCAATTTGGAATATGCAAGTTCCCGTATAATCGTGGTCATGGCCTGAACATTGTTGACGTTCACCATGGGATGTTGGAGGTCTGGGATCGAGACCTTGCACTCCGCGAAAAGTCGCGTGTATAGTTTTCTCCCGTTGGTTGACCTCGTGACACCGTTCGTGTCTGC